CAGATCGGTTGATTCTTAGAGATATAGCTATTGGAATAACCTAGAGGGTGCAGTGGCGTTAAACTGCAATTTGATGCTCTTTTGGGTTCTTTAGAGGTTAACAGAGATCAATCATAACAAGTTTGGTGTAAATCGGATAATGCTTGTATGATTTAAAGACAATCATATGCAAAGGGTTCACCATTCAACCATGCCCAAATGCTCCAGCCAGCAGCCAGTGTTGAAAAAAGGATTTACCATCATGTTGTTCTATTTCATTAAACACAGGTTTAAATCTGCACAAACTATAACTCTATAGTTTGTGCAGATTTAAACCTGCAAACTATAACTCTATAGTTTGTGCAGATTTAAACCTGTGTTTAAATCTGCGTTTAGTTTAGTTTGTGTTTAGTTTGTGCAGGTTTAAATCTGCACAAACTATAACTCTATAGTTTGTGCAGATTTAAACCTGTGTTTAAATCTTTAAGTCCTTCTTTTACTCAAAAGAAGGAAAACAGTGGGAAAACAGGAGACTTCTTGCTGAAAAGGGGTGGGGCAAAGGTGATGTCGCCACCTGATCATGTGAATGTGATGAGCTCTGATCTGACACAAAGAAAGCTTGATCCAGCTGGGAGCTTGTGTGGCAAACGGTTTCATGGCGAATGGTCAGATTTGAGGGTTGGCCATGCCCACATGCTTTGATGTACAAGAAAGATTTTGATAACTTTTGACCTTCAATGTCTCAAGACTGTGTTGACTGATTTTAAAGCCCAGATCTCAAAAGCTGTAGGAGGAGTTCTTTCAGATACAACATGTCTAACAAAGAGAAAATGGCAGCTTTATCCAAAATGGCTGACTTCCGGATGGGTTTAGACCATGGCGCCAAGAGACTTTTTTCGGTCCTGTCAAGATGTGTATGTGTACCGAATTTCATAATTGTCGATCAAAACATAGGTTCCGGCTGATTTGTTAAGGATTTCTAGGGGACGCTGTGGAGGAATTAGGCCACTCCCACAAACTATTGAACTTCATTTCTCTCAGGGGATGGGCAAGGATTGATCATAGTGAGTTTGGTGCAGCTTGGCTGAAATATGTGAAATTTTGGCAACGGCGTGACCATGCTCTTTACCGAAAAACTCTGCGCATTAAAGCAAGTGAGACCAACTAGTTATCTGTCTTCTAACACAATCAATCAATCAAATTTTATTTGTATTGCACATTTCAGCAACATAGAATTTCAAAGTGCTTTACATCATAACAAACACGAAACACAAAGTTATGCATCATAGAATCAACAATCAAAACATGACATTAAGTTAAGTACCATTGTTAAATTCGTAATTGATTACGTTTCAAATACAGCTCTAAACAGGTGGGATTTTAGTTTAGATTTAAAGGAAGTCAGTGTTTCAGTTTTCTGGAAGTTTGTTCCAGATTTGTGGTGCATAGAAGCTGAATGCTGCTTTTCCTCATTTGGTTCTGGTTCTGGGGATGCAGAGCAGAACCAGAAGACCTGAGGGGTCTGGAAGGTTGATACTACAACAGCAGATATTAATGTATTGTGGAGCTAAATCGTTCAGTGATTTATAAACTAACAACAGTATTTTAAAGTCTGTTCTTTGAGCTACAGGGAGCCAGTGTAGGGACTTTAACACTGGTGTTATGTGCTCTATCTTCCTGGTTTTAGTGGGAATGTGAGCAGCAGTGTTCTGGATCAGCTGCAGCTGTTTGATTGATTTGTTGGACAGACCTGTGAAGACGCTGTTGCAGTAATCAATGCAACTAAAGATAAATGCATGGATGAGTTTCTCTAGATCTCACTTTGACATAAGTCCTCTAATCCTAAAGAGGTTCTTCAGGTAGTAGAAGGCTGACTTTGTGACTGTCTTTATGTGGCTCTGAAGGTTCAGGTCAGAGTTCATCACTACTCCCAGGTTTCAGGCCTGATCACTATGTTTTAGTTGTAATAACTGAAGCTGTGCATTGACTCTAGATCATATTGATCAGCCCAAGGGGGTCAGAGATGGAGCTTTCTAAATAAGCTTAGAAAGTTTAGAAAGCTTACTTAGAAGCTGTTCTGAGTGGGCATGGATTAGATTATGTCAAACTATGACAACATAGGATAGTCAGGCATCCAACCAACCAGTATCCCTCATGCCAAGTTTGGACCCAATCGACCTTTTTATGTGTAAGTTATAATGTTTTGTTTGCTTTGGCAAGTATGCCAAGTTTGCCGCTTTGCCAATAATAGTTTAATAGTGCTATCAAACCAATGGCCAGGACGTCATTATCAACACACTACATTTATGTCTGAAATTAGCTTTGCTGTTATTTTAGCATTATTTGGAATTTACTGCTTTGCTGTGTCCCTCATTTCCATAGCGAGAAGGAACTGACACCTCAATCAGTCGTCTTTCAGTAAATCCCTCTTGAACCTGGTGGAGGTTCATAAGTTTCGAAAAAGGAATTTTCTAACTGATGTGGGTACATTCCCGAGAAAAATTAAAATTTAACCAGACACTTCGAAGAGGCAGGGGTGATGTAAGGAATCCTGTGTGTTAACTAGAACTTTTTTACTTGTTTACTTGCAACTTTGGCATAAATTTACTTGGACTACTAAAATTGCTGCGAGGAGGGAAAAATGCAGATTCACAAAACTGATTAGCCAGTGAATGACTGAATATAGTGTGAATCTCTGGAGTTCTCTGGACTTTATAAACCAAAGCACAAAGCATTTTAGAAGAATTTGTAACAAGGAAAATTGTAAATAACATTGTACAATGTAAATTAACTTGTTTTTGAGCTTTAAGGAGTGAGGTAAAATTCAGATTAAGTAGAACTGTATTCATATGTTTTTAATTCGTAAGCAAAAACAGTGACAGGCAAACATAGTCAGTGCTCTTACCATTGCATTAAACCAAGCCATCCTACATCCTGCAAAGCTGTTTGTAATGTACTGTGTCATTAACTAGATTCTTTCTTTTTTTCTTTTTTTTTTCATTTGTTTCCCTAGGATAAAGAAGAGGTAATCTACATGGAGATAAGAAAAGAACTGCCCGGAGATCAAAAATAAATATGAGAAAACAAGAGGAGAAGACATGGAGCTAAATAAATGGGAAAGTTAAAGGAAAGTTAAGGAGGTTTATTGTTCATTGAAGGAGAATTAACGTCCAATGGAACTGAAAACAGAAAGTGGTAAAAGAAAGCCACAAAGACCCAAAGAACAGAAGAACTACATATGAAAGCAGCTAAAAGCTGAGGCGAAAAAGGTGGCTGATTAGCTGAAAGACAGAAGAGACATCTGGATGAGCTCTCCGGGTGCAGGCAGCAGGTCCTCTGCCCTACAAAGATGGCCTCTAACTTCAGTGACATCGTCAAGCAGGGCTACGTACGAATGCGGAGTCGGAAGCTTGGGGTTAGTGTGTTTCTTCTACATTAATGGAATGCTACTTGGAGTCTTGCTATTACACTGCCTGGCCTAAAAATCTCCTTTGATTTAACCAAGCAATAAGGACAAGCAGGGGTGAAAATTAGCACCTGCCACTGGCCAAATACAGGTAAAAGTATGAAGTAGCGTGTAAATTGGAGCAACACACCCGCCACTGTGGCGGGTTGACAATTTGAACAGAAAAAAATAGCTGCATTCAGTTTGAACTTCTGTCCAGTTTGAACTGACCGTCTGGACTAC